GCACTCGTTTGCCGGCTGTGTTTTCGAAAATCCTCCTTGAAATACGGTGGCTTAACTTGTGTGAAAATTCGGCCACAACTCCAATTTTTTTGCACAAGAATAATAGAGCGCACTTGACAAAAGTACTATTTTCAGGCCTGCCACCCAGTACTTCACGAAGCCTCAAAACACCTGAGCAATCATCGGGACCAAAGCCTCCATTCGCCAACTCAAGTGCTTCGTTTCAAATTTGCCGCCGACAAAAAGTCGGCTGAAATTCTAGAAGTTTTCTCCGACGATGGGCGGTTCACATCGGCCGGTGCAGTTGCCACGTCATTCGATAATGGGAAACAGATGTTGATTGGAACCGTATTCCGAGATGTTACACATTGTGATATTGATGTTAATTTGGATTAATTTGAATGAATTATAGATTACTGTAGATGCGAGAAATACGCAAACACAGACTTTTTCAGGTTTCGCACAATTTTAAATAACATTTTTTTCAGATTTTCGATAGTTCGAATTACCAAAAATTAGAAATACTCAAAAAATTTCAGAAAATTCCCAAAAATCTGCAGTTTTGAGTTCAGATTCTAGAAAATTCGAAAACTCGAAAAACGCAAAAAATGTCAACTTTTTTGGAAAAATCTAAAAAATCTAAAAATTCTAAAAGTTTCAAAAAAAATTTGAAATAAATCTAACAAATCTAAAATTTCCGAAAATTTCAAAAATTCCATAAATTTCGAAAAATTCAGAAAATTCAGAATTTTTTTAAATTAAAAAAAATTACGGAATTCCAGAAAGTTGGAAAAAATCATGAAAATTCCCGAAATTCTGAAAATTTTGAAAATTTCGGAAATTCTATAAAATTCCGGAAAAATCCAAAATTACTAAAAATTTCTTTTAAAAATTTGGAAAAATCTATTTTTCAAAAATTCCAAAAATTCGATAAAATTAAGAAAATTCGGAAAAATCCCGAATTTTTTTTTCTAAAAACCTGAAAATCCCTGAATCGCTGAAAACTCTAAAACATCTAAAATTTTCGAAAATTCCTAAAATTCTTAAAATTTATGAAATACCGGATATTCCAAAAACTCCAAAATTTCAGGAAATTATGAATAGTATCGCAAATTTAGCAAAAATTTTTCGAATTTAAAGTTCCCTCCATTTTCGATTTTCCATAGACTACTGCAGAGAATAAAATACGCACTGATTTCACATTTGCGGACTTTCGCTGACAGTACCCCACAAAATTGTTTAATCGAATTTCCTTTATTTTTCAATTAAAAATCCCGTTTGAAAGACAAAAAGAGTTTTAAAAATCAATATTTTCAGCTAAAAAAAAATGAATTCACCGCCCGACGATGGCTGGTCACAGTCAGAAGTCAACGATTTGTTCGATTATATAGAATTGATTACAAAAAATCGTGTCCAATTGAACACCGCCGCATTATATCGAAGCATTGCAATGTCGCGATATTCGTTTGTTTCTAGCGAACATATTCAGAGAGTTAAATCAAAGTAAGCATAAAAGTTTGAGCGGGAAATTTGAATTTTTCACATTTTTCAGAATTTTCGACACTTTACAAAATCATGTACTGGAAGTGACTCGCTACAATTTGAACACCAAAATTCGCATGATCTACGCTTTGGGGGTGCCGATTGGGCCGAATTTTCGAGAAGTTCTTCAAAAAATCGCACATTTCCAGTTGGATGAGCAGAACAGGATTATTAGATACATGTCGAAGGACAAGGTTCTGATATTGGGACCAGAGCCACTCCTTCAAACCTGGAATATGGATCTTATCGATTTTTTAGTCGAAACTTCCGAGAAAATTCTGCGACCGATAAAATTGTGTGATTTGGCGGATGAGTTTAAGGCGGTGCATAAAGATGAGCGACGCGCGAGTTCGTTGGCTCAGAAGTGAGGAAAACATGGGAAATTCGAATTTTTCGTTGAAAACTACCCTAGAATCGATTTTTGAAAATCGGCTGAAAATTCTAAATTTTTCATCAAAAATCGATATTTCTAACTTTTTTCAGATTAGGCCTAATTCGTCACAAACTACACGAATTGAGTCATTTGGACACTCGGACACTTATCAAAATCAGTTTTACGACAGGCGCCAAGGTTTCGGACCATTTTTTAGCAGAGTGAGCGCTACGGTTTCCCGATTTCCCAGTGTCCTGATGTCCCCAGTATATTGATTTTTTTGCATTTTTCCTGTGTTTCTTTGTGATTTTTCCGATTTTTGACATTTTCAAAAAATATTTTTCGATTTTTAGAAAGTCCAGATGTCCGAAAAATCGATTTTTTTTTTCGGAAAATTTTCGAAATATTTTTTTTAAAAAGTTTTTTTTGTCAAAAAAGTTAATTTTCAGCATTTTCATGACCTGAAAATCATTCTCATTGATTTTCAAACAATTGGAATTTTCCGCAATTATCGATTTTTTGCACCAATTTTTCGTGTTTCTGTGTGTCCAGATGTCCTAAACAGTGATTTTTCTGTTCAAAAGTTGTCGAAGAAGCGATATTTTTCTCCGAAATTTCGCGAAAAAAAACCATTTTTTTTTTGGCGCCACTTGGGAGATCATCGGATTTAATGAGATTTTCATAGAAAATATGATCTCCAAGTGGCGCGCCAAAATACTACGCCGCACTTGCAATGATGGGCGGAGCGTCGGTGGGGGAGGCGGGAATCAAAGTACGCAAACACCGAGTCCCACTTTTTTTATTCCGACAATTAAAAAAAGCAAAATTTAATTTTCAGCAATTATCGATTTTTGCACTTTTTTTCCCGTGTTTCTGTGTGTCCAGATGTCCTAAACAGTGGTGATTTTTCTGCTCAAAAGTTGTCGAAAGCGATATTTTTCTCCGAAATTTCGCGAAGAAACACTTTTTCCAGAAAAATCTATTCCTTGTATTTCTGTGTGTCCAGATGTCCAAAAAAAAATATTTTTTCGGATTTTTCTCAAATTTTCTTCTCAAAAAAAAGCAAACTTTTGGCATTTTTTTTATCGGAAAATATTTCGAAAATTCAAATTTTTTATGAATTTCTTGAAAATTTTGAATTTCCAAAACTAGTAAAAATTTATTTTTCTGCATTTTTTTACTCGAAAGTTTCGAATTTTTTCGAAAATTCGATTTTTTCAAATTTTCTAAAAATCCCCAATTTTTTTCCAGAATCCAAAAGACCGGAACTGTCAAATTGAACGTGTTTCGTCAAATTGTGGGATACTATTCGAACGACGGCATGCTAACGCTGGGCGATGTTGAACGGTGGGGGAGACATTCGGACACACAGACAGACAATTTTTTTGAAAAAATTTAAAAAAAATTTTCAGTATTGAAAACGATGATTTCATTAACAGAGATGTCGTCGTCGTGGATTCGGAAAATTCAGAAGACGTGGATTCGAATGATGACGTCGTCAGAAGGGTGATTCAGATGGATCACGACTATCTCCCAGTGAAAAAGTCATCTGTGGTTTACGGTGGTCCCGGAAAGTGTCCAGCTCCGATTCTTCTAGAAAAAATGAAAGTCAATGAGGAAGAAGAAGAAGGATTATCGATGACATCAACGTCTTCTGAAAATCAGAAGACGTCAAACTATCAGCGTCATTCGTTTTACACGTGGAAATCGCTTCACGATCAATCCGTTCGATTTTTGGCAGATTCGTGTCAAAAACGGGATCAGAAAATCTCGTTATCAGCGATCGCTAAGGAGTTTAAGAGGAAGTTTGACGATCCGGCGGCGGCAAGATCTGTTCAAATGCGGTAATTTTTAATTTGCAATAGAGCGCATTTTCTAAGCTTATATCTAATTTCGACTTTAAAAACGCCATGACCTGGTGGCCGAACTTTTGCAAATTGAATTTAAAAAAACATGAAATGGTGGCCGAACTTTTGCAAATTGGGTTTTCTAGGCCACCATGTCAAAATGGACGAGAAATTGCCTAATCTGGTGTGTTTTTAGGCCATTTCGACATGGTGGCCGAACTTTTGCAAGTTGCATTTTCTAGGCCACCACTTCGAAATGAACTAAAAATGACCTGGTATTTATCTGGTGTGTTTCTAGGCCATTTCGACATAATGGCCAAACTTTTGCAAGTTGCGTTTTCTAGGCCACCACTTCAAAATGACCTAGAAATGCCCTGGTATTTATCTGGTGTGTTTTCTAGACCATTTCGACATGGTGGCCGAACTTCTGCAAGTTGCATTTTCTAGGCCACCACTTCAAAATGACCTAGAAATGACCTGGTATTTATCTGGTGTGTTTTTAGGCCATTTCGACATAATGGCCTAACTTTTGCAAGTTGCGTTTTCTAGGCCACCACTTCAAAATGACCTAGAAATGTCCTGGTATTTATCTGGTGTGTTTTCTAGGCCATTTCGACATAGTGGCCGAACTTTTGCAATTTGCGTTTTCTAGGCCACCATGTCAAAATGGTCCTGTAATGGCCTGATATTCGTCTGGTGGGCTTTCCAGGCCATTTTGACATGGTGGCTGAACTTTCGCAAGTTACGTTTTCTAGGTCACCACCCTTTTTGACCTAGAATTTCTCAATAGAGCGCACTTTCCAGATTCTTCCGAATCAAGCGAAAAATCCACACTCTCCACCATTTGGACATCCCGACGCGTATTCGAATGCTCTATGTCACCAACGCTCAAGTGGATCCCTTGTTTTTGACAATGTAAGATTTTGCTGAAAAAGCTGAAATTCTCAGTCTGAAAATTTTTTTCCAAAAATTTCAGAATCCGAAAATCTGCCTACGTCGAAGTGGACCAATTTATGAAGATTCTGAAATATAAAGCACACGACGGAAGTCTGGAATTGGGCTGTGAAATTGAGTGAGATTCTGAAAATTGTCCGTAAAGTGCATTTGCAATTTTTCAGAAAATCCGACGGCGTGGAGTCAGATGACGTGGCAGTTCTTCCCATCCCCCTAGAAGACGTGAAAATCGAAGTAGAAGATGACGTGGATCCAGATTTTTTGGAAAAAGTAAAAATTGAAGAAGCAGATGACGTGTATTCATATCCAGAATCCAGCATAATGGATTACAATGAGCAGTCTGTGGCGTTTCTCGTGGATTACTGTAGAAATCGTGATTGGCCAGTGACTGGGTGGGAGCTGGCGAATGCATTCAAAACGAGTTCTGACGACCCATCGTTTACGAAATCTATCGAAATTCGGTTTTTAGCGATAGAGCGAATTTGCTGATTTTTTGAATTTTTTTCAGATTTGGCAGAATCAAAAAACGAATTCATACTTTCAATCACTTGGACATTTCGACGCGGATTCGAATGCTTTTTGTGACAAAAGCTAAAGTGGACCCTCTGTTTTTGGAATTGTGATTATTTATTTATTTTTGTTTGTTGTAGAGAAAATACCTCCTATTTTTACTTTGAAATTGATGTTTTTTTTATTGACAATTTCGGCACCTCAAAATTCGTATTCCCGCGCGTTTTGTCTAGTGGAGCGCTATTTCTACGAATCTACGTATTTGTTATTTTTGAAAATTTTTACTGAAAAATCGTCTTTCTCAGCGATTTTTCTTTTAATATTTTGATTTTTATGATGTATTAAAAGTGGGAAAATGATATTTTTCATTTCTTTGAACATCGATTTTCGGAAAAATTTGCGATTTTTCAAATTTTGGAGCATTTTTGATGAAAAATAGGTTTTTTTCGGCAATTTTTTAGGTAATTTAGATTTTTTTTGTCCTATAATCATGGAAAATAGCCATTTTCGTTCTAGAAAACTCAAAAGATCGATTTTCCAAAAATTTCAAAATTCTCGCTTTCCTTCGTTCAGATTGCCTTCTTTTTCGGTCAGACTGGGTGTTTTAACTTCGTTAACAATCATATTTTAAAGAAAATTCTCAAAAAAACTACGAAATTCCGATGAAAATCGATAAAATTCGATTTTCAGCAAAACTTTTTCCAAAAAAGAATTCAAAAATCCGTTAAAAAATTGGAATTTAATTTTCCAGAATCCAAAAATCTGGAGACGTCCATCTGGACCAATCACAACGAATTTCGGGATATTCTGCATTCGATGGAAGTTTAACAATGGGACGGGGTGACTGGTAAGTGCGCTCTATTGAGAACTTGACATTTTAGCAATGGAGCAGTTTTGCATATTCAACGTTTTTCAGGAGTCACTTGCGATCGGAAAGATACATATCTTCAAATGAACCGGATTTTGATTTCAAAGACGTGAAAATCGAAGAGATGAATGATTCAGAATATCAGAAGGCGTCAACGTCTCAGAAGACGTCAGATGATCAGTTTTATGTTGCCTCCACGCCTTCTAAATCAACGTCTTCTGAAATTCCGGAGACGTTTGAATCCACGAATCTCAAAAAATTCCAAGAACTCCTCCACTGCCTTCTGCTCACTTTGGACTCCCCATCACTCGCAGAAATCGATAAAAAATTCAAAAAATCGATAGAAAAAGTGGAAATTTCCAAAGAAATCCCCATGGAAACTGCAATTCTATCACTGGAAATCATTTTTAATCTATTCACACAACGATATTTCATTGAAGACGCCAATCAGAAGACGTCAATCCCGGGTCACACAATTTTGACACTTTTGATGAATTTATGCTTCTTTTTGAAATCGCCGAAGACGTCGGGCCTTCAGAATCGGATCAGAAATGCTAGAAATGGGGTTAGAATAGGCTGAAAATCAGTTAAAATATCGATTTTTCCAGAAAATCCCAGTACGAAACGTCCAAATCGCACTGGAAACTGCACTTCTTCTCATCAATCCATAGACTACAAACTACAATAATTTTTCAATTTTTTTCATGCATTGTTCTTTTAAAATCATGCTCTTTTTTTCTTCTCCTCGCAAGGAGAATGTATAGTTTTAATGAATTTCTGAAGTTTTATAAATTTATTTCAAGGATTACTGTAGATGGTAAAGTACGCAATTGTGGTGTGCATTCGAATTGCGTACTATTGCGCACCGTACCTACTTGAAATATTCAAGATTTTTTCTATTTTTTCATAATTTTTCTATTTTTTAATCTTTGTAATTTTGTTAATTTACAGCACCATAAAACTTTTTTTCGTCTTAAATTTGAAAATTTGATTGTTTTTTCTTCGAAAAATCCGTTTTCAGACCCAAAAATTTGGCTAAAAATGGCAGTGACACGCCATCAAACGGAATCCGCCAAGCGACAAACCAGAAGATCTTCGACAGTAGTACGGATTCAGTAACCTAATTTTTGATGGCCTAGAAAAAGGGAATTTTAATAAAAAGAGAAATTTTTCGATTTTTTTTTCAAATTTTCCATATTTTCAGATTTTTGAATATTTCGCAGAATTCTCGGATTTTTTCTCAAAAATTCTGATTTTCGAGTTTTTTCAAAAATTCTAAAAATCAGAATTTTCAAAAATTCTAATTTTTTGAATTATCTGAATTCGAAAATTTCAAAATTAAGTTGTTCTTCGAAAACCGATTTTTTCAGAAATCTCCAGAAGTCCAAAAATCGGTCACATCTCCATCGATCGCCAAGAAACCCGTTCAAAAGAAGTAAGTGCGGAGACCCCGCAATTTCCGGAGAAAAGTGGGCGGAGCCTAAACTGCAACCCTGGCACAGTTTTTTAGCACATTTGGATACGGCATGAGAAAAACCGTGCCAGGGTTGCAATTTAGGCCCCGCCTCCTGACTCTGCCCACTTTTTTCTCCGGAATTGCGGGCTCTTTAAGTGCGAAAGTTTAAGAAAATGCAAATTCGCTCCACCGCTAATTTTCAGATCCACCAAAAAATCCAAAAAGCCATCGAACCCACATCCACCGTTCGCCCAAATGATCCTCGAAGCAATCAGTGATCTGAGTGATCGAAAAAATAAGTGGATCAGCAAATTCAAGATCGCCGCGTGGATTTGCAAGAACTACAGTATCCCGAGATCCGCATCATCGAAGCACTTCACATTTTTGGCTATTAACAAAGCGGTGTGTGAGGAGATTCTCGACGCGAGGACCAATGGAACGATCACTTCGTATAAAATTGTGAAACAATAATTTTTTTTGTATTTGTATTTTTACCCGAATTCTCTCTAAAATCTAAAACTTTCATCCGATTCTTGCCAATTTTAGGCCCAGTTGTATTATCTTTGTTTGTGATTCCCAAAAAAAATATTTTTTGCTTTCCTGTCTTGTTGAATTTCCTCTCTGTAATGCCTTGATTTTGCCTTGATTTCCTCTCCTTTTTCGCATAAAATGAATTTCTTATTAGGTTGGCGGGAAAGTCTTTGTCACTTTTTCAATAGTTTATTTCTCAAAGAAAAAATAACCGAATAATTAATTATATTGTCCATCATTATCAACAACATGTCTCCAACGTTCCCTCAATTTATGGATTCCATTGCGGTAGAATCCAGCCGGGCGTGAGGCAAAGTATTGTTTGAGTGCCGCTTCGACCGCTCCACGGGAATTGAAGCTTCTTCCTTCGAAGGCACGTGTCATATCGCCAAATAACCAATAGTCGGAAGGAGCAAGATCAGGAGAATACGGGGGGTGAGGGAGAACATTCCATCCATATCCCATCAGCTCCTGCTTCACTTGTTTCGAAACATGTGGGCGAGCGTTATCATGTTGACAGTACACTTTCTTGTCTTTCAGGGCCGAACGGTCGACTGCTTTCTTGAGGTTTCGTAGTTGAGTAGTGTAGAGGTCTCCAGTTATTGTTTTGCCCTCGGGCAGAAGTTCCCAGTAGATGGGGCCGTCCACTCCCCACCACACAGAGAGCATAACTTTTTTCGGATGAAGGTCGGGTTTGGGGACATCCTGTGGGCTCTCTCCTTCTCCAACCCACTGGGATTTCCTGTGGTGATTATCGTAGAAGACCCACTTCTCATCTCCGGTTATTAGCCGGTCCAGCCATCGATCGCCCGCGTGGAGAGTGAGAAGAGTAATCGAATCGTCGACTCGGCGGTCAAGGTTGGCTTGAGTCAGGTGATGACGTATGAATCGACCAAAAAGTTTTCTCATTCCAAGAGACTTCAAACCTTCAAGGACTGTGCTATGGTGAACTCCGAATGTGACAGCTAGTTCACGGCTAGATTGAAATGGATCCGATTGCAATGCGTGCTTCAGCTTGTCCAAATCCAACTCACGGGGTCTCCCAGAGCGATCCTTTTCATCGAGCGAGAAGTCATCTTTTTCGAAACGATGGAACCAATTGCGAATAGTATTGTAGTGAGGGGCATGTGTGTTGTACACATTCTTCAAGAAAGTTTCCGAATCCTTCATCGTGGTGTGAGATAGGAAGAGGTAAATCAAAACATGTCTGATGTGAATAGCAGTGGGAACAAACATATCGTTTCAATTACAGATGAGGAGCAGGGAAGGAGATGGGGACTTGTTTATATGGAAGGTTCTTATCACCTTGTTATTCACTAGAGTCGATATCATACACAGCCTCCATATACGAGAACAGTGATTAAACAAACAGAGTGACAAAGACTTTCCCGCCAACCTAATGTTTCCGCAATTTTTTATCTTTTTTTTTCCAGAAACCTATCCTAATGCAATCGCGCTCCTCTAGACTCAAGCCAAAAGTGAATCATACTACAAACTACAAAACACATTGACCGATATTTACCTTCGATGCGAATCTGATGGCCTAATTAAAAAAAAAAAAATTTCACAACAAAAATTGAAGATAGACTACAAACTACAATTTTTTTTGAAAATTGTTTTTTAGATTTTCGAATTATCTGAATATTAGAATTTCCGAATCTTAGAACGAATTCCGGAATTCGAGACTACTATATTAGAAGGGTCGGCCCTTCTATTGTTCCAAGGGTGCCTCCGGAGGGCCCTTCTATTACAGGGGCCCTTCAATTAGAGGGGGCCAGTATTTCCGAATTTTCGCATCGAAAAATTTGACAAAGTTTCGTNTTTTAAATTCATGAAAACCTGCCAAATTTCACTAAAATTTAGCAAAATTTTCATCGAAAAATAGAGTCTCAACAAATTTCGATTACCGTAAAACCTGTGATAGAACGGCCCCCCCTAATTTTCAACTGTGAACCAATTTATCTCGGTTTCTGATGAAGATATAAAAATTTGTCAGCTGATAAATTGTTTATCATAATATTCTATACATTTTATCAGTTGACAAATTTTTTATACCTTTTTCAGGAACCGGAGATAACCTTGGTGAAAGTTGAAAATTAGAGGGCCCTTCTAATGCAGGTTTTACGGGAAATAGTGGAGTTCCCGGAATATTTTCCACTGGAAAAGTACGGACATTTTCTGATTTCAAAACGCATTTTGAAGGGGGGTCCTTTTTCACAGAGGGCCCTTCTATTATAAGGGCCCTTCAATTAGAGGGGAGCATTCTATTTTCCAAGCCTCTTTCGGAGGGCCCTTCTATTAGAGGGGCCCTTCCAATACAGGTTTTACGGTATTTTGAAATTCGAGAAATTGGAATTCATGAATCTCTAAATTCGGAATATTTCAACAAGTTCAGTATATCAAATTCTCACCAATTTAGATTTTTTGAAACTTGACCTCCCGAATTCAGAGGACTTCAAAATTGGAATCATCAGTAGGAGATACCGTAAAACCTGTATTAGAAGGGCCCCTCTAATAGAAGGGCCCTCCGAGAGGGGTTGGAAAAATAGAATGGCCCACTCTAATTGAAGGGCCTCTATAATAGAAGGGCCCTCTGTGAAAAATCCATTTTTCGATAAAAATCTTGCTGCTAAATTTTGGTAAAATCGGCAGATTTGCATGAATTTTGAACGAAACTTCGTCGAGTTTTTCGATGCAAAATTTCGGAAAAAACTGGCTCCCTCTGATTGAAGGGAACCTGTAATTGAAGGGCCCTCCGGAGGTACCTTGGAACAGTAGAAAAGCCGGCCTTCCAATACAGGTTTTAAGGTATTTGAAATTCGAGAAATTGGAATTCGTGAATCTCTAAATTCGGAATATTTCAGCAAGTTCAGTATATCAGATTCTCACCAATTTAAATTTTTTGAAACTTGACGATTTTAATTATTTTTTTTGATTGTTATTGTGTCATTCCCAGAATGTTTTTTTTTCGTTTTTTTTCGCCCAAAACTTCTCTGTGATAGCCTAGATTTCCACTCCTTTTTACATAAATTCATTGTCGATTTCCGCAATTTCCCTTTCCCTAAAAATCATGTTCCTAATGCAATTGCGCCCCTCTAGACGCAATCCAAATTAAAAGTCTCAAAGAGATGATAGGTTGGTTTTAACTCATTTTTAGGATGTCTTCTTCTAATTAAATTTTCTGAAAGTTTGGAAATCTATACTAGAAAAAATATGTTTTGTTATGAATCCTTTTTAAAAGTTTCATGAATGATAATAGTTTCTATTTTTAATTTGCGGCATGTTCAAGGCTCTGAAAAGGGATACTGTAGGTTTTCGATAGTTTTGAATTTTTCAAAGAATCTTTTAAAAAGTTGAAGTCTTCATGTTTTTTTTAGTTGATAACTTTTTTCTAAAACGGTCCAGGAAACAGATATGGAGATTTCAGAACCATGACAGTTAGACCTCTTTTTCAGGTATTCCAAAATCCGTCTTTTGTCTCCGGAATCGGCAAAATTTGAATTTTTTTTTGAAATTTGAAAATTCAACACATGTTTCCCAATTTTTGTTTTTTTAAGCCATCGTAAAAGTTAGGACAAAATTACGGTCTCCACACCTTCTGAAAATTACTTTCTGATGACGTGGCAATATCCAGAATCACTTGTATGGGTCCTCCTTTTTTGACTTCCCGAACTGTATGGGTCCTCCTTTTTGACTTCCCGTCCTTTTTCACAGAGGGCCCTTCTATTACGGGGGCCCTTCTATTACAGGGGGCCGTCATATTTTTCCAAGCCCCGCTCGGAGGGCTCTTTTATTACAGGGCCCTTCTAACACAGGTTTAAAGGCATCCAAAATGTTGTGTTTTCTATAAATTCCAAAATCTTATTGTCGCAAACTCTTCATTCATTTTCTTTGTGTCTCTTGTTGTTCGGGTGTCAGCAAAATATTGCAATACGACAACAATCTGTATTGAAAACCCAAAAATATCTATCTATTTTCATCGATTTTCTATGTCTAAAAAAGCAAAATTTTCAAATTCAAATAATTAAAATATCTTCATACTGTTAACAAAATAGCTTATCTTTCTTTTTTCTTCCTAATATTTCTGTTGATTGTGAAATCTTTGAACCACAACGTTTTCTAGCCCAAGAATTGACCTTCCATTCTGTTTTTTGTGCTCTCAAAGCTGAAAAATCAAGTTTCCCAGCTAAAAAATGACAAGTTCTGAGTCATTTTTCTCATTTCTCACCGATTTTTGTAATTGAAAACTGCAAAAATATGAATTTTTTAATAAAAATTAGTATAACTACAAGTTTCCCAAATAAGTTTAAACATGAGTTTCAGCTTTTAAAGCTTTTCGAAGTTCTCTCACCAAGTTAACCGGCGAGTTTCTGCTGGTACCAGTTTCTAGCCCATTTTTCTCATTTCCCACCGATTTTCGTGTTTTCCGAATTAGAAAAATCGATTTTTCAGGTCAAAATTGTGCTAGTTTGAAGTTTTCATTAAGTTTGAAGCATATTTTCACATTTTCCTGTGTTTTAGGTTCTGTGATTTTTTTGGCGCCAGAAGTGTGCAAACTGCAAGTTCTGAGTCATTTTTTTCTCATTTTTCACCGAGTTTTATGATTTAAAGATGTGTGAAATAGATTTTTAGCTTAAAAGTTAGTCTAACCATAAATTTTCCTTAAGTTTCGTTCACAATTTTCAGTTTTTTAAGCTTCTCCATTCGCTGCAGACCAACATTGGTTGAGAAATTTGACTAGTACCATTTTCTAGTCCATTTTTCTCGTTTCTCACCGATTTTCGTGATCTGAAAACTGAAAAAATCAAATTTTCAGCTCAAAATTAGTCTAATTCGCTGTTTTCACCAATTTTGAAACATTTGTTCACCTTTTTTTGTCTTTAAGATTTCGCTTGGCGCCGGAAGTGTGCAACCAATGCAAGTCCTAGTGTCACTTTTCTAATTTTTTACCGATTTTTGTGACTTAAAAGTTTAAAAATAAGAATTTTCTGTAAAAAATCAGTATAACCGCAAGTTTCCCAAGAGTTTTAACATGATTTTCAGCTTTTGAAGCTTACTGGCGATGTTGTGCCAGTAACTTTTTCTAGTCAATTTTTCTCTTTTCTCACAGATTTTCGTGATCTGAAAACTGAAAAAATCAAATTTTCAGCTCAAAATTAGTCTAATTCGCTGTTTTCACCAATTTTGAAACATTTGTTCACCTTTTTTTGTCTTTAAGATTTCGCTTAGCGCCGAAAGTGTGCACCGGCAAATTATACCAATTTTTAGTATATAAAAATTAGAAAATCATGATTTCCAGCTAAGAATTGTGCTAAAAAAACTTTTCAAGCGAAGTTTGGCTGAAAATTTTCAGCTTTTTCAGCCATTTTCAAATTTTGCGGACTATTTTCCAAGAGAAAATGAATAGGATGGATTCTGTCTTTCTAGAAACCTCGTTCATGATTTTTCTCGAATCAGGTCGACAGCTTCTTCATTTCCGAAAATCCTGAAAACCCTGAAAAATTGGCTTCCAAATTTTGAACTTCTGAAAGTGCATTCTAGAACTTTTGTCGATCAGAACCATTCGAATTGTCGCATAATCCTTTTCGCATTTTGTCGTTCTCTTCAGCTCCCCATAGATACATTCCACGTCTTCCTAACCCTGACGACGTCAGGCTCTAGAAGATGGTGATTCTGAAATTCCTAATCCTGTTGTGTTTCAAACATTCCGTTCATTCTCTCATTCCCCAAAAATACACAAAACAACCCTTCAATTTTCTTATTCCTTTTCGCGTCCCCTTCGTCCATCTCGTCCCCACCCGTTTCTTTCCCATAATGTCTGCCTTTTTCTCTGCGCTCTCCTCATTCCGCACAGTGTTTCTCGCACTCTCACTGTCTGCGACACTCTCTCGTCGTCGCGGGCACCGATATACACGTTTTGAAATGAGTCACAACTCTAAACTCGATCGTTTTCAGCTATTTTTTCAGACTTTTCTGTAATCTCTTCTCGTAACAACATCAGAAATAGATAAAGAATCTGGTTATCAAAAAATTTCCAAGTTTCAGCGACAAAAAATCGCAAAAATGACCGAAGAAGCGGCGTCGAACGTCGGCGAAGTTCGAAGATCTGGAAGACATGATTCCGTCGCCAGATTTCTCGTAAATCGGACTGTAAAGCAATCAGACAATGCTTATCATCCGACATATAAGAAAAAGTACGAGAAAAATCGGGAAAATTCCAAATTTTTTCGAATTTTTGGAAAATAAGCTGAAATTATAAAAAATCTTGTAAACCACCGTATTTTGAGTGGTTACAGACTGCAAATTCAAAAACTACGGTAGCTAAAACCTATTAGACAAGTTTCAAAAAATAATTTTTGGAAAAATTCAAATTTTTCGAAAATTAAAGTTTTCAAACCCGGGGACTAGGTATCTCCCCTAAAAGACTAGTCCCCGAACTCAAAATTTTTGCAGCTACATCGCTGATCTACCAGATTTGATCACCGAAAAGCCATCAGAGTCCGATGACGACGATGAGGCTCCAGAATCCTTGACGATGCCAAAGCCAGAATCTCGAGTCTCGGATAGGCAGTTTCAGCGGTTGAAACAAGAGACCTCTCATCTTCCAGTGGATACGGTAGGTTATTCGAAAATTTGAATTCCCGCCGGATTTTCGAGTTTCGCAGGCCCTCAAAGTGCTCGCCTACTACCATTTCAACGTGGATATCGCCATAGCGGCCGCGAAACAAATGACCATGCCCCGGACGATGGGAAATGGTGTAAAATCCATGTTCCGGGCTGGAATAGCGTTTGAGCGAGAACAAAATCCATCGAAACGAATGGCAATCAAAGAGTTCTATATGGGAAGTCAGGTAAATTTTTGAAAATTTTAAAATTTTTGAATTTCTCGCCAAGCCTAAACCCCATAGTTTGCAGTTCGGAGCGCAGTGCAATAACAAGGCTTTGGTCGATTTCTACTACAGTGAGAAGAACAAAATCGGTGGGAATTGGCGTCTGGAGAATGATGAGGAACCAATGACGTCAGAGCAGCGAATTGAGCTTCAGGAGAAAATGATTAGTGGCGGTGTACGAGTGCAACGGTAGGTGGAAGAGGAATACGAATTTGAGAAAGTTCGGCCAAGATGAAATTTCCGAAAAAAGATTGAAAAATTCGGTGGCCAAAATATCCCAAATTTTAGGCTATTCTGGCGGCCTAGAATCTCAAAACCTAGGCCACCTGTATGATGGCCTAGAAAACCAATTTTCGGATTTTCTAGGCCACATCCTTTCTTCCCAATAACCGCTGAAAAACGATGGGCTAGCCGCATATTCTGAAATTTCCAAAATTCGAAAATTTGTCAAAAATGCCCGCAAAACCCGGATTTCTAGGCCACGGCTACTAATTCGCCAGTAGTAAGTGGCCTGGAAACCCAAACCCCAAATAGTTCGGCCTGGCAGAAACTTTCAAAAAATATTTTTAAATTCGGTGGCCTAGAAACCCAATTTTTATATTTTCTAGGCCACAGACTCTCTTGTCGATAAGGGCTTGAAAACCTCGATATTCGATTTTATAGGCCACGGCCTCCAATTCTCCGGTAGGTGGCCTAGAAACCCAAAATCTCAAAAAGTTCGGCCAGGCATACATTTTCAAGAAATATTTTAAAATTCGGTGGCCGAGAAACCCAATTTTTAGGTTTTCCAGACCACAGACTCTCTTGTCAAAGAGGGCCTAAAAGCTTCGAAATTCAATTCTCTAGGCCACGACCACCAATTCCCTGGTAGCTGGCCTAGAAATCTAAAATCCCGGAAATTTCGATCAAGCTAAAATCTCCAAGAAAATTTTGAGCATTTTGGTGGCCTAGAAATCAGGAATCCCAAATTTTCGGCCACGCCTATTTTCCAAAAAAATTCTGAAAAATTAGGTCAAGTTTGGTGGCCTAGAAACCCCTTCCTGGCTGGCCTAGAGTCTCAAGATCTAGGCCACCAATCTGATGGCCTAGCATCCTTATTCTTAGATTTTCTAGGCCACCGACTTTCTGACATTCCTAATTTTCGAAAACTTGCCAAAGATGGCTTGAAAATCTCAATTTTTCAAAATACCAATTTAAAAAATTTTCCCGCCAAAACCCCGAAATTTTAAAATCAAAATTTCCAGCCGAGACCCAAATGCTCCACGAAAAGGACGAAAGAAGCGAGCCATCGCCGCGATCCGCTCTCATCAGCTCCGTAGGGACCATCGTGCCGAAGCCATGACCAATACCGATGACGTGGATTCGTCGGATACCGTATCCGTGGCGAGCACCGAACGCGCCATGTCAGAAAAGTCCGAAGCTCCGCACCCGCTGGTTTTGAAGCTGAACGCAAGTCAGATTTTTGGAATTATGGCCGAATCCTCGAAGGCTCCAGACGCTTCCACGTCATCTGAGCAACCGTTTACTGTAGCCACGTCACCAACAGTTGTGAAATCTGCCACGTCACCCGCCGAACCCTCATCAGATTCCTCTGTATGCACGACGTCTTCAACATCAACGCCCCAGAAAATTCCGAAATTCAAATTCAATCTCAACGTGGACGATGTGAATCGGGTGATGGCTGCAGCTGCCACGTCATCAAGCCATCAGAATCATCATAAGACGTCCACGACGTCAGTCCCTCATAGAATCAAGAAAAAATACAGAAAGAAGACGATCGAGGAGCTACGTGGCGGAGCGCAGAAGACGTACCCGGGTCGAGAACGACGACCGAGAAAAATGCTCGAGGATGAGGGTTATTAAATTACGCTTCATTGATAAAATTTTTCAATTTGCCCATTTTTTCAAATTTCGTGTAAATTCCCCCATTTTTTAAAGCCCTTTCCCCCTCTCGTGTTTCATGACAGCCTATTTTTCTTTCTTTTTTTTTGAATTTTCTTCGTACCGCCTATTTTCCAATTTTTTCTGCTGAAAATTTCAATTTTCCCCTCACTTTCATCCCAGTTTTTCTTTTTTTTCAATAATTTTTAAAAATTTGCTGTGTTTTTTTCCTTCTCGTGTTCAAGAATTACTTTCTTTAATGAAGTCTTGTTTTTTTTGGAAAATTCTGAATTTTTGTTCGATTCTGGAGATACGTCGTCGGAGAATCTAAAAAAATAAATTTTCGAAGAATTCTCGAAAGCACAGGGTTTTTTTCTATCTTTGCAAGCTCGCTCTATTGATAAGGGGGCGGGCGAAGCTTTTTCAAATTTTCAAAAATGAAAAATTCTCCCGTAAAACTAGAGATCTTGTTTCGGTGAAGAGACGCAGAACATTTCGGTGAAGAGACGCAGACAACGAAATGGCTGAAGATCAAAAGTTTGATCCTCAGCCATAAATTTGCCTACGGCCACGCCCCTTTATCAAAAAAGGGCATTTGCATAGCTAGTTGAACAAAACACAGTGCGAAAGAAAATTAGCGAAAACTTTTCGAAAAGGTCAGCAAAAGTACGCAGAGTCGGTGTTGCACATTTTTGTCGACCGTAGTTGTTCATTTTGGCGGACTTTCAAATTTTAAATTTTTTCTGCAAAAAATTAATAAGAAACTTTAAAAAAAAGGAGAAAAATTAGAAAAGACAATAAAGTTTTATTATTTTGGAAGAAAAAAGAATGAATGAGAATAAGTGCAGTTTCCGGAGCAGTCCGGAGTTTTACAACGGAATTCCATCAATATTTTTTTAAATGAAGTATCGGAAAATGGAAAACACAGATTTTCTAGCAAAAAAGAACCAAAAACTGCGGAAAAAATCAGTGGAGAGTACGGTCAGCAAAAGTACGGAGAGTCGGTGTTTGCACACTTTTGCCGACCGTAGTTGTTCATTTAAGCGGTTTTTCAAATTTTACATTTTTCTGCAGAAAATTTGTAAGCAAGCATAAACAAAGAAGACAAAATTCAGTGAAAAACAAATAAAAAGCTATTATTTTTGAAGGAAAAAAAGATGAAAGACACGAATTGCAGTTTCGGGAGCAGTCTGGAGATTGCTGAAAAAAATTTTTCAGACACATTTTTACATATTTTTTGAATTTAGACATTTTTTTTTCGATTTTAGACGTACGGAAAAATGCAAAAAATAAAAAAGAAAGTCAAATAATTTGGAAGATTTTCGAGCAAAAATGACAAAAAATCTGAGAAAAAATCAGTGGAGAGTACGGTCAGCAAATGTACGCAGAGTCGGTGTTTGCACATTTTTGTCGACCGTAGTTGTTCATTTTAGCGGTTTTTCAAATTTTAAATTTTTTTTGCATAAGAATCAACAGGATCTAGAAAAGAAAAAAAAATTAGAGAAGAAACAATAATTTATAACTTTAAAAGAAAAAAAAACAAAATTAATTAGAAGAAGTGCAGTTTCCGGAGCAGTATGGAGTGTTCAAAAAAAACGATTTCAATCCGAAAATTGTATTTTTACTTATTTTTCTGAATTTTAAGGATTTTTTTCAATTTGTCAAGCTTAGCACTACGGGGAAATGCCTGAAAAAACACTGATTTTTGAAGATTTTCAAGCAAGAAAAAAATCAAAAATTGCAGAAAAAATCGGTGGAGAGTACGGTAAGCAAAAGTACGCAGAGTCGGTGTTTGCACTTTGCGTTGTTTTCTTTTGGCGCAAATTTCAATTTTGGACATTTTTTGTCGATTTTTCTCATTTTCAGCCAAAAAATGTGCTTTTCACCGATTGAGTACACTAGCGACGACGTCAATTCGTCAATTATCGACACAAAAGAGCTGGACAGAGGCTCAAAGGATGGTTTAACCTGGTAAATTTGATATTTTTCAATTTTTAAACCTAAAAATCTATTTGCCAGGACCGTCACTTATTCCCATCAACTGGCTCTCTGTCACAAGCTCACTGACTGTGCCTATCTGACGTGGCAATTTGACTGGCGAAAACTCAAAAACGAAGGATCCGTCGACGGCTTCTCAGGCGACATCATCGTCACCTACCGAAAGGAAAAGGAGAAAACCGCGCCGATAAAATTCTACGTGGAATTTTCGAATCCCCAGCAAGAAGTCGTCCGTCGCATCGGCCCCACCAGCGATATCAAATACAGCGAAAAGTACCCGACATGCTATATAACATTTGATCTTCATCTAACCCCTTATAAACTGTCTTATCGAAATTTACCCATTGATCAGGCGTTCTTGCCATCGACACCTAATACCGATGGGATTCTCGTCGTGGAGAATCGCCGAATGCATATTAATAAAACGGTCAGTGTCCAGATGGTCAATCTGTTTGTCGATGTCACTTATTGATTTTTCAGTATCTCTCCGTACAATCCGCTTTTTTTCAAACCATGTTCTCCTCGAATTTCATGGAAAAATCGATGGCCGAGGTGCCGATCGGCGGTGTGAAATACGACGAATTCACGCGCCTTCTAGCGATCGTTTCGTTGAAACCAGTGTTTCCAACAGGTAGTTTTTCTAGGCCACCGCCAAATCCACGTGGAAAATGTTGAATTTTCAGACGAATCCGTGGAAAATCTGCTCTCCCTCGCCGAGCGATTCCTAATGCCCGCCATCGTTTGCCACGTGGAACACCATCTTCTCACTGCCACTCACTTTGACTTCTTCCGTCTCTTATCGCTTGCCGATAAGCATAATCTCGAAAAACTCACCGAAAAATGTATTGAATCCCTGACCACACTGGGACAGATCTCCAGAAATCGACACAGAGCGGAGTATATTCATTTGAGTCGAGACACGAAAGCCAGAATTTTGGACCATTTGACACAGGTTTAGGCTCAGTATCGTATACATAATTATCGCCGGCCGACGATAATTATGTATACGATACTTGTTGTTTTTTTTGTTCATAGTATGTACCTTTTTTGTATACAAGAACCCGTGTGTATTTCCCGATCTGTTTTACTGTTTTTCGCCTGCCAATAAACATTTTTCATGCAATTTTTTAATTTTTTATTTTTGGCTTTCTCCACATATTTCCGGGAACCCACTCTATACACCTACATTGAGCTCACTTATCTCGGTTCCTATAAGAGATATTATAAATTTTTCAACTGATAAAATTTTAAGGATATTATGAAAAATATTTTATCAGTTTACAGATTTTTGATATCTCTCATAGGAACCGAGATAATTGAGCTCAAAGTTTCATTAAACGAACCCTACTCTGTATCTTAAACGTTTAAATTAGGCGACTAAAACTGACAAGGGAGTTACTTGAGGGGGGCTCGTGAAATTTTTTTCATGGAATAGTGTATTTCTTTTAAAACAATAGATTTCAATCAGCAGTGTGGTAAAGTGGTAAAATGGCAAGTTCAGAGGAGAAAGGTTGTAGGTTCGATTCTCCCGATCCCAAAAATTTTGCAAAATTTATTTTAAGCTGCCATAACTGGCTCTGGAATAAAATTTACGCAATCTAAAAAGGTTTTAGGGAGTTTCTAATTATGAATAGGCATTTTCAGAATAAAAACAGACATTTAATTTTTGAAGAAATTCACAAATATGCTCATGGTTCAATGAAGATTTTTCAAAATTTTTTTTTCAATTTTTTCTTTGTTTTTTTTATTGAAAAAACAGTTGAGGATTCTAAACACATCGGTGGCATTCGATGACAAACTGCTGGAAACATATGTTCTTGGCACAATACGCGCATTTGACCATTGACAATCTTTTGCACCCAGATAATTGGCACTTTCCATAAACAAAAAAAAATTGAAAAAATTTTTTGAAAAATCTTCGATGAACAGCATATTTGCGAATTTCTTCAAAAATTAAATGTCTGTTTTTATTCTGGAAAATGCCTATTTATAACGAGAAACTCCCGAAAAACATTGCGTAAATTTTATTCCAGAGCCCGTTATGGCAGCTTAAAATTAAAAAAAAAACATTTTGCAAAATTTTTGGGATCGGGAGAATCGAACCTACAACCTTCCTCCTCTGAACTTGCCATTTTACCACTTTACCACACTGCTGATTGAAATCTATTGTTTTGAAAAAAATACACTATTCCGTGAAAAAAATTTCACGAGAAATCGCTTAATCATAGGGAAACTATTCTAGGATATAACTCAGCTCACGTGAGCATTTTGCTGATTTTTTTAACAGATTTGGAATCCTCATAAGCTCTTCTATCTGCTCCCAAAATTTCAAAAAAAGTTAAACCCGCCCCCTCAAGTAACTCCCTTGTGAGAACAAGACAACAAACTTTAGCCTGTACTGTAATTTGAACTTGGTTAAATAACAACTTACTGAAAAGAATGCCAACGATGAGAAGGCAAGACTTCATTTTGATGAACGACTTCCAAGTTCTGAAATATTTCAAATTTAATACAAAAAAGTGTATCAGTGCAAAGAAAGCAGAATGAGAAAATCAAGGTTCAAGGGAGTCAAAGAATGCAAAGCAAAACTTTTGAGTGTCTCTAAAAAACACACCACGAGCAGTTTGAAAACGAGAAAGATGATTATCTTGCGAAGAAAACTCGTGATTTTTTCCCCAAGTTTTTCAGTAGGTATTACGTTCTCATGGGGGTTTAAAGGGGGACTCCGACCAAAAATTTTTTTGCATTAATATGTGTTAAAAGTTATCTATTTTCGGAATATTATTGCGAAAAAATTTTTAAAAATCCGAAATTCCCGAACAACGGCGTTAAAAGGAAGAAAATTCAAAAAAAGGTGCCGCCGGGGGACGAGGATTTTCAG